ATCCGGGGAGGTCGCTGGGGGTCTCGGTAGCTTCCCCTCTCCGCCCATGCCTTTCGGCCATCTTGCGGATAGAGAGATTCCCCCGCGGCACCTGCCCGGCCCTTTCCCCATCTGCTGCATGGCGCCCCTTCGCTATCCTCCTACCGCCGCTGCCTAAGCCCATTGCACTGAGTGAGGCCAGAGAGGTGGCGGCGACTGGGCAGCCACGCCCCTTCGCCATCCTCCCGCTGCCGCCACTGCCACATGGCTCTCCACCGCCTGGCCCCATCTCAGCCCTATCGGTGGTGCCTTCCTCGGCCTGGGCAGCCACTGCAGTGGCTGCCCTTCACCGTTCTCCCGCTGCCGCTGCTGCCACAGGGCTCTCCGCCACCCGGCCCCACCTCAGTCCCAGCGGTGGTGCCTTCGGCCGCTTTCGGGGAGCTGCCGCCACCGTCACCGCCCTTGATGCTGCAGGAGAAGGAGACCTTGGGCTATGAGGCCGGCGGCAGGTCGGGACCCCCCTCGTCCTCGCGGCGGCACTCTCCGTTGCCAGCGCAGTCATCCATAGTGTATCTGCGCTGCAGGGAGAGCAGCGTCCCCTTGGCTCCCTCCTCTTGCGATGGCGAAATGGCTGAGGATGCGGCAGAGGCAGTAGCTGGGCCGACGGTGGCAGCGATCCGTGACGATGCTGCAGTGGCCACTGCCGTACCACCACCGGAGCCGCTGTCTCCCGTCCTGCTCCCCCTCCTTGCCCTTCAGTGCTGTCTGCCTTTCATCTGGAGAGAAAGAGAGAGAAAAAAGAGGAAAGAGAAAGAGAGAGGAAAGAGAGAAAGAGAGGAAGGAATGAGAAAGAGGAAAGAGAGAGAGAGAAAGAGAGGAAAGAGAGGGAGAGAAAGACGGAGAGGAAAGAGAAAGGGGGAGAGGAAAGAGAAAAAAAGGGAGAGGAAAGAGAGAGAAAGAGGGAGAGGAAAAGGAAAGAGAAAAAGAAAGAGAAAGGGAGAGGGAGAGAGAGGAAAGAGATGCAGACATTTAGAGAGAGAGAGAGACCCTTTTGACATCTAAAATGAAGATAACACTGCATATATTCTTTTTTACCTTTATTTTATATATACAGTGCTTTTTTTGTAAAAAAAAAAAAAAAAGGTGCCGAAACTCACATACATCATACAACCCACCTTGCCTACCCTACAAGGTTCCATCCAAAAAAGGTACCGGAACTCCGCTCTGGGTGTTCTATGACAAAGAAAGCCCTGTATACACACACACACACACACACACAGAGAAAGAGAGAGAGAGAGAGAGACAGACAGACAGACAGACAGACAGACATATAATAAAGGTAAAAACGGATATATGCAGTGTTATCTTCATTTTAGATATCAAAAGGGTTTTGCAGCTCCCAGCGTTTTGTTTTCAGTGGGAAACGGGTCCAAGTGGCTCTTTGAGTGTTTTGGATTGCCTACCCCTGGTATAAGCAAGGAGTTGGACTACAAGACTCCACAAAGCTCTTCCAGCTCTATTCTGAATTTAAAAAAAAAAAAAAGATATCTACACAAGTTTAGTGTGTGTGTATATATATATACACACACATACATACATACACATACATACATACATACACACACACACACACACACACATATAACCTACTTATATGTGTCTAAGAATATATTTATGATTACATAGCTAATAGTTAAAAGTGACAATATTTAACAAAGTTATGTTTTTTCCCTTGTATTTCTTTAATTGCCTACCTCAACATCACCTGTGAAGTGTTCTGTCTATGTAGTTATGTGAGGGTAGAAGAGGGAAGTACAATGTGTTTAAACATGCATTGTATGACTATAACACTAAATAATTCCTGAACTGTACAGAACTGAATAGGATGGTATGGTAAGTAAATGATAAGGTAGACCTACTGTATTTCCCCCAAAATAAGACTCAACGAGAAAATAAGCATCATTTTTAGGATGCTTATAATATAAACACTATCCCAAAAAGAAACCCCAGTTGAGATTGTCAACAAGATGGATGCATTTAGTATGTCCGTTGCAACACACGACCGATGTATTGAATTATAAAATAATAATATTAATATATAATTAAATAGAAATAAATAATATTGACATTAGTACTTAAATAAATTATAATATAAATTATTATTAAGTATTTGTAAATACTCAGGCGGGCATCTTTGGACAAGAGGTGAATGCCTATGTAAACAGTTGAACTTGCCAAATGACCAGTCGAATACAATGCATGAATAATGTGCACACTTGATAACTAACGGATGTGTTTCATAATTTAATACATCATATGTTGTAATGGACGTACTTAATGCACTTGTGTGAAATAAAGAAATGTTTTCTGAATTTTGGTGCCCGCAATTTTTTGTTGCTTTTGTGTGGACCATCATTCTTAACTGACATCATTTTCATTGCCACTCCTATCTCGTAAGTCTTCAATTAACACTTGATTTAATGCAGACATGTTAAACACAAGGCCCATGGGCCCAATTCGGCCTGTGATGGGCCCATATCTGGCTTGCAGGGCCATGGCGGGGGACTAGCCACAGCCCAGTAAGCCGGGCGCTCCCCTGGCATGCCCACAGGCAGAGAGCAAGCAGGGGCCACAGCCTGCTGGCCCCTTAGCTGGCGTTGTCTGGAGCTGCATAGCCCATGTAGCGCAGGTGAGTCAGAGCACTGCGACTGCCAGGCCAGCCCTCCAAGCAGCTGGCAGAGGCAGGGAGAGAGGAACACGATCTGGATGCACTGAGCAGCCACCCCCCCATTCCATCCCACTGTCTATCTTTGCTTGCTGGGGACACGGCCATGAGGTGAGGCAGGTGGCAGGGTAGGGGTGACGCCATGCCACGGCCCCTGTGCACTTAGACCTAGTCATCCAATCTCTTCCTCTAGCTCTGCTGCACACCTGCAATGGTCCCAGCGAACAGGAAGGGTAGGTAGCACCTGTCCCCTTTCCTGCTCCGCCCCACTCAAGCCCAGCTCTAGAGTTGCTCCACACACCCCGTGCCCACACACCAGGCCATCCCCACCCCGCCACCTGTCTTACCTCACCTTACGGCATTAGCAACAGCAGCAGGCAAAGGCAGAGGCACGGGGGAGGTACGTGATTCGGCACACTGGACATGACGCGTGTCTGCCTGCCCCATCGTGACCGCGGGCAAGCAAAGACAGATGGTGGGATAGAGTGGGAGGTCGGCTGTGTGGCATGTTCAGTGGACCAGATCACATGCCTCCCCCTGCGCCTCTATCTCCTGCTGTTTGGAAGGCCAGACTGGCAATCACAGCACTTGGACTCATCTGTGCTGTGCCGGCTGTGCAGTCCCAGAGTATGCCAGACAAGGGACAGGCTGGCTGTGGCTGCTGCTGGACACTATTGCCCCCCACGTGCTCACCGCTTCCTGTGCATGCACCGAGCTGGGGGTGGGGCGGCAGGGACCTATCCCTCATCATTTCCAGGTTGTCTCTGCGGACCAGATATGGGCCTATCTGGCCCACAGACCTTGTATTTGACATGTCTGTTGTATATAAAAAAAATAAGACATCACCTGAAAATAAGCCCTAATGTGTCTTTTGGAGCAAAAAATTAATATAAGACCTGGTCTTATTTTGGGGAAATTAGATGATTAAATGCAGACCAAAGATGGAAAGTACAAAGGAATCACTACTGCTATCAAAATCAGGTGAATTTCTTTAGATTCAGTTGGGAAATATCTGCGTTCTTGTTTGAAAATGTCCTTCAGCTCTTTGAAGACTTCAAATTGGGAACACTTCAGTTGAGCTGAGCTAAGTTTCCTTCTGTATACTATTGTTCAATATTTGTGGACCAGTCATTTATTTCCATGCTTGATTCAGTTCCAAAATAAAAAATGGTTAGAGAAGCCAATTTTATTGTGTGTCAAAGAGATGGTCAAAGTTGCTGGTACTCCTGGAAATTATAAGTAGCCAAGATTTCCAGAAATTAGAAAAAATATGTATCAGAATTCTCAATAAATTTGCATATACTTGGTACCAAAAAATTATTATTGTTATTGAATACATAAGATTCATTCTTGCCATTAGAGCTTAAGGAAAATATTATATGTTATACCAGTTCTTAATTTATAAAAATAACAAACTTCTTTCCAAAATAAGGATCGGAAAATTTTTAGATTGCATACTCTTTTTTTAAAACAACAAATAAAAAATCACACTTTGCTTTTTAATCTCATACTAATATATGAGGAAGACATGTAAAAGCATTGCCAAGTCTAAAATCTTAGTACAGTAAGTCATCAATTTAAAAGATCTTAGTTTAGCAGAATTTAGATGTAAAAAACAACAAAATTTTCCTGCTAATATCTCAGGTAACAGATGAATTCTATTTTATGGAATTTTTAAGAAATTTGGATACATTGTATCTATTTATAATTTTTGTGTAATGATGTTAATGTAAATTGACTGAATGTGAATTTGGCTATAATTAATATCTAACACATAGCATTTCCCTGATAAACTGACGGTTACTGAACTTATAATGATTTTTTGTAGTCCTTAGGTATCAAAAAAGATGGATACTTATTCCAGTAACTGAAATATTGTTTCTAGTTCTGTGCAAAGCATTTATATTTAAAAATTAACAGGAGTTCCACTCATATAAATCAGTATTTGCAATCTTCACTGCGTTCATGTTAACTCCTATCAATTCTAAAACTTTTAATGATTTCAGTAGAAATTACTAAATATGGCTTATTGAAAGGTTTGTCTTAGATATGCATATTCCTTTCTTTGAAAAATAACAAAGGCTGTTGCTTTTTAAGTATAATGAGCATTCAAAGTTTTCACCTACGAATATAAAGCATTGCCTTGTAATATTTCTTCACATTATTCTTAAACCATGAATATGCTTAATAATTTGTTCATATCTTGGAAAAACATGTACTGTGAAGTTTTAATTTTTTAATAAAATTTTTGCCGTTATGCAAAATCTAAAGATACATTTTCTCCTTCTGTCCACAGCTACCTGCAGATTTTACAAAACTGCACCTCACTGACAGTCTCCACCCACAGGTGACCCACGTTTCATCTAGTCATTCAGGATGTAGCATCACTAGTGACTCTGGCAGTAGCAGTCTATCTGATATCTATCAGGTATCTTATAACTGTTTTTAAAATCTCAATCCCTGTTAAATGTTAACAATTGAATATCCTTGTTTAATTACTTTGCAAATGTAAGCAGAGTTGTGAAACCAACAATGATTTATGTTGATGGCAAACAATTACTGACTATCCATGTAATAGCAACTGGTACTGAAAACTACTATAATTCAGCAGCATATCAGGGATTAGAGGTTATCTTCTTACAGAAATGCTTATGTATCCATTCATTAATTTTATATGAACTTAATTAAGTTATATGAACATGTGTTGGAATTTTGAAGTTGAAAGCAGAAGAATTTGATTCAGATCTAGTTGCAAGTATCAGCAAGCATATTGGTGGATAAATAACACTTTGCAACATATAGTAGTTATTTTGACACATATATTTCTATTTGCTTTTGATAGAAGAGCTTGTTTGCTTTGACTAATTAATATTTACCAAAAAAATCTAAAAGATAAATCATAGAAACATTTTATAATTTTTCATATTACTTGTCATGCAACAAAACAAACTCAGATACTTAGCTTATGTTTTTTTGTAATATATTTTATTGATTTTTTTAAACATAAATCACTTAATAATTGGTGAACAGTGTGTTCTCTGGGTAATTGGTGAACAGTGTGTTGTCTGGGTTACATTTGTAAAACAATCACTTAACAATTGATTTCTATAATCCATAATCCACATAATAGTTTTAGTTGATTTCTTTTTTCCCCCAAAATATCCTCTTTTGCAAACATTGAGTTAATACAATTCTTATTGTTTTGATAGATTATATATATATATGTATGTATATGTATATATATATATTCCCAATAGTCCTAAAAATAATAATCACATCAATATAATATTTCTTTTCTATCCAATCATTCTGGTTGCCTTATCATAGATCCTGTTATAGTCCTTATTTTAATTTGTTTCTCCTACCAAATTCTAGGTATTCTTAACTGGTTAAGATTTTCTCAAAAATTAATTACATTTAAGAATTTAACTCTATTTTTCCATATAAACCATCTCACACTTACAGTAGGAAAAAAAAAGAAAAAAAGCAAGAGTAAAGAAGCATAAAAATAACATACTATTTAAAATATATATCCCTCCTAAGCTAATATGTGTTTATTTCCTAAATTTCTTATTCTTTATAACCATAATTAAAAATATGTTTAATCTTTAAACATTCCATTTAATACATCTAGTCATCTAGTCCTTTAACTCTTATTCAAAAGAGTTGAATCTTTTATCCATTATAATTTTCTTAAATTCAATCACATTTAAATATCTAAAACATTTCCTTTATCTAAGTCATTTCAACTTTTTTATATTACTCATATCAAGAAAGAGAACAAAAAAGGGGAAAAAGCATACTATATTATATTTAGATAATTCATCCCTCTTAGAGTGACATATATATTCCAAAACTTTTCTATTTCTTTAATCATATTCAAACAAATGTTTCTTTTTAAAGTATTCTCTCTGATAAGTCCCATCATCTATTTTCTTAGTTTCCACTTTAGTCTTTTTCTTTTGCCCAGTGTCTTTCTTAATCAATGTATTGCTGAATAAAAAAGTTTTCCTGTATGTTTATAAATGTTGCTGTAGATATAAAAAGTAAATCAGGAGAAGTGTCTTTGTACAGGCCTCTGCCTTTCCATGTTTGTTGAAAATCTTTTTTTTTCTTTCCCTCCACTTCTCTTATCATTTCCTTTCTCTCCGATGTTCCTGATATCTCTACAGTCCATTTTATCTAATCTGTTTTCTTGTCCTCAGATTTATTTTGTAGTCTTAAGGGATAAGTTGTTTTTTCCAATTCTTGTGAATTTTTTTCCACTAGGATTAAATCATGTTTCCTTGTTTTGTTAAGTTTCATCTTTAAGTCTCTATTCTCAATTCTATATCCATTTATCTGTTTTATCTGCTCCTTCTCTGTCGTTTTCTGGGAAATTTTTTGTTGTAAAGTTAACTTAGAAATAGATTGATTTATATTTTCAAAGTTGTTTTGGATTTCTTTGTGGTTTAAAGTCATTGTTGTTTGAATTAGTTGCAGTATATCTCTTCCTGTGAAGTATTTATGTTTTCTTGATATGTCCTTTCTACATCTCTACATCTCTGATCCATGATAGCCAAGAATTTGAGTTTTCCTCTTCCTTTCTTTTCTCTATAAATAGCTTTAGAGTCCCAATTAGAAAGATATTTGTAATCCAAATAGTTCAAAAAAGATTTTTTTCTGAAATTTATAATTCTGTCTTTGTCTACAGCCCAGATTATTGTCTTTTTTTGTCACAGCTGTTCTTTGTTGTTAAAGCTTTGAAGGTCACAAACACAGATTAGCTTTTCCCAGATTTTGCCAAGTCTTATATTAAAGTCATAGCTGTCGTAGTCTTCATCTGCCATTAGGTGTCAGCAACTATTTGTTTTTCAATTTCCAAAATGAACAATTATCTTTAAAATGAGAGTCTTAACCACTCAAACAATTTTAGATTTATCCAGATTTAAGTTTTAAGCTTCAGGTTTTATATTTATTTATATTTATAAATATATTTATTTCACTTCCATATATTTGATCCTCCATAAAAAGATTAATTCGCCGCTTCCTTCCTTCCTTCCCTTTCGGAGGTATTTTGCTTCTTGGGGATCTTTTCCAGGAAATTAAATGTAAAATAGAAAAGAGAAGATTGAATTCCTCACCCAGTTTCAAGCATGCTGTTCACAGTTGTGCTGGTTAGTGCTTTTGGACTTCAGTTGCCAGTAGCTTGGGCTGGTCGATGCAATACGGCCAGCCTTTCTCCTGTCGGGCTAGAAAGCTTTCCCCAAGTTGAATGGAATGGCCACTGCAGTTCCAGAATCGCTGGAGCACCCTTTTTTCTTTGCAACTTAGACCCATTTAGGGTCTCTGGCAGGGTGAAATTAGCTGCGGGAGTGTAGAGAATCTGCAAGCCTGTGACCAGTCACTACCGCGCAAAATTGGAAGTCCTACTTAGCTTATGTTTTTATGGGGGACTTATTTGATATGAAGTAGTAACCAGAAGCAATTTCAGTGTTTATAAATGATATAATGGAAGCTAGTTTCCCAAAGTAGGAGTGCTGAGAATATGAACATATGTAGTCCTCAATTTACAACCGCAATTGAGCCCAAAATTTCTGTTGCTAAGCTAAGCAAGACAATTGTTAAGTGAATTATGCTCCATTTTATGAACTTTCTTGCCACAGTTGTTAGGTGAATGTCTGCAGTTGTTAAATTAGTAACATGGTTGTTGACTGAATCTGGTTTCCCCATTGACTTTGCTTATCAGAAGTTCACAAAAAAAGGATCACATGATCCCAGGACATTGTAACAGTAATAAATATGAGTCAGTTGCCAAGCATCTGATTTTTTTTTAAAATATATTTTATTGGTTTTTTAATTTTAACAAAAAGTACTTAAAACACACCGTGGTGTTTGGGTAAACAAACATTCCAAAATACAAGCATAGATAAACAGCTCAACTTAGTACATTTACTGTCATCTCTCTATCTCCTTCAAATAACATAGTACATTTAATATATTCCATTTCTAAATTAAATTTCTATTACTACTAAACCTGTTTTACAACTTTGTCAGTTTACAATTACCATAATCAGATATAGTTTTACATCAACAAATTGTCACTTTGAATATCTCTTCCAGATAAATTCAAACTCTTAATCAACTTAGTTAAAAAAAAATGTTAAACCTTAATTATCAATTCATTACACACACTTCAACCTCCATCCAATTAGTTATCATACCTTATCAAATCTATACTAATATAGAAGAAAAACAACTAATTAATTTAAAAACTTCAAAGTCCCACTCTAAAAAAGAGAAAAGGAAAAAAACCTCAACATTTTTTCAATTCCAATACATGATTTCCATCAAAGTCAATCTATTATTCCCAAAAATGCATTCTTAGTCTAATTAAACATATATGTCAGTTTAAAATTACCATAATCAAGTATAGTTTTACATCAACAAATTGTCACTTCAAATATCTCTTCCAGATACATTCAAACTCTTAATCAACTTGGTTAAAAAAAAATGTTAAACCTTAATTATCAATTCATTACACAAACTTCAACTTCCACCTTATCAAGTCTATACTAATATACAAAAAAATCATCTAATTAATTTAAACACTTCAAAATCCCACTCTACACTTCAAAATCCCACTCTAAAAAAAAACTCAACATTTTTTTGATTCCAGTACATGATTTCCATCAAAGTCAATTATTATTCCAAAAATACATTCTTAATCTAATTAAACATATGTATGTGTGTGTGTGTGTGTATATATATATATGTATGTGTGTGTGTGTGTGTGTATATACACACACACACACACACACATACATACATACATGCACATATATATAATTGTTTTCTGAGATTTTCGCGGGTGTTTGTATGTAGGTCTTTGGTTGTTCGGGTTTTCTCCCACGTCAAATTGTAGGTGTCTTGGCGACCTTTCGACGAAGTCTCATTCGTCATCTTCAGGCTGGTGTTTTCGGTTTTGTGCTTCTAGGAGCAATGTGTGATCGTAGCTGTTTCTTCCTTTTAACTGCCAGTGGGGGTATGAACTGATTGGATGAGAGCATCAAAGCTCATTTCAACCTTTTCACAGATTGTACCACTTTTAGGATATGGCAGTATTCAAGTACCACTAGTCTGGTATCAAAAACCTGATGACCCCCCCCCAAAAGGAAAAAATTGTTAAGTCCTTGACTTACAACAGCTTGCTTAGTGACTGTTCAAAGTTACAACGGCCTTGGAAAAAGTCACTTATGACCATTTTTCACACTTATGACTGTTGCAGCATCCCCACAGTCATGTGATTTACATTCAGATGCTTGGCAAATGATTCATACTTATGATGGTCACAGTGTCCCAGGGTCATGTGATCACCTTTTGCAACTTTTTGACAAGCAAGGTCAATGGCCGGGGGGGCGTGACCAGCTCAACACGCTCAGGTTGCAG